GAAGCTTTCCTCTCTGTTCCCTTGTGTTTCTAGAGCCTGAGCCATGTGTCAGGTCGCCTGTCTTGGGGGTGGCAGTGGGTCCTGGCCCCCCGACTCAGCTGCTGGGGTGCAGAGGGGCGGGGGGAGCTCAAATACCTTCTTCCAGGCAGGACTGTGCTGGGAAAGGGGGAGGGTAGCATATCCCCAGTGGAGGCACCCTCTTCTCTGCTGCATCTGGTGTTGGGCAAGGCGAAGGTAGCTTGTCAAAGCCATTTGGCACCTGTGGGAGGCAAGATATTGTGGGAACGTAAACATCTTCTGGTTAGATTTGTTTTGATGACTAGAACCGGAGCCGGTAAGAGTCAAGGGAAAGGTCCTGAAATTCTCTGACGGCTGAGAGCTGCTCTCGCCCCGCCGGTTTAAAATGAGAGCTGAACCAGAAATACTCAGGGTTGGAACTGGGCACTGTCCTCATCCCCACAGAGGAATAGTACCGAGGGGTAGAAACCCCATCTGGGATACGACGGGGCACTTTTGGTTCTTAAACCTGTGACTCTGCCTCATCCCAGTGTTTCACTGGTCTTGCATTGTTCTGGGGGGAGTTGAGAGCCATATTCCCCTTTCCACGAGCCCCAAACCAGCTTTTTCATGCCTAGTTTGCAGCTGGAAACCAAAATGACTTTCTCAAAGCCTTGAAATTTGCATTTGGCGAGATCCAGCCAACCTTGCTGAGCGTCTCTGGTAGAAAGTGGCCAGGCCTTTTATTTACTATAATGCAATGTGCTGGAGCTTCCTGGTCAGTGTGACAGCTCTTGTCACCCAAGGCACAGCAAGGAAAGAAGAAACCCACGGGAAGACTCGTCCCTGAAACTCTACTTCATTTGGTGTTCTGCACCTTAAGCCAGCCTCACTGCCTGCTACCCCACTTCTCTTCTAGAAGTATTCAGGGCCAGGTTGCTGTGCACCACCGTAAAAGAAATGTATTTACTTCTTGCTGCAGTGTTGATGAAGTATCGTCTGGTGGGGATGCCTGTGCGCTCGATTTTTCTGCTTTCTTAGCTGTGTCCTTTGGGCCATTTTTGAAGATGGGACAGGGAACGTACCCGCTTTATCTTTGCTCACTGTGTGAGCAGGCACAGGGGAAGTCATACCTGTCGGTCTGATAAAGCCGGTTTTGTGAGGAAGAAGAGAGCGCTTGGGTCTTTATTGGCTGCGACAGCCGTGGTGCCTCAGCACGGAGCTGAGCGTCCGGGGGCAACACCCCTGGGTCTTTTTCTTTTGCTTTGGGGCTTTCTTTGAGATCTTCCCCCATGCTTGCGTGTCTTCCGAGCTGAGAAGGAGGAGCCGGCTTCAGAAAGCTTGAAGGGTTTCGAGAAAATATGCAAGTAAATCTCTTCTCCCTTCCTGGTAGAATAATTGCCATTGTTTGCTTCGCCGGCTAGCGAGGTGTTGGCTAACGCGCGTTTCCCACAGGATTTGAATTCTGGTTGTGACAGAGCCTCCGCCGTGTGACGTGTGTGGTATGTGACGTACGTTCACCTCGGCTGATCCCTGACGGCGCAGGCTTTAAACCTCGGATTTCAGCCCCACCTCTGGGAGACTCCAGGCCTCTCCGGGTGGTCCCTCTGCCCCGGGCAGTGTTTGGGCTCTGCAGCTCTGGGGACAGGTAGAGCTGGAGATGATGAGAGCTGTGAGGCCAGGAGAGGAATCCTGCTGGAAGGGCTCAGCTGCTGCGCGTTGGGTGACCTGGCTCTGGAGGAGCTGCCTGCGCTGGGGTCCTACCGTGGTTGTCCCCCTCATGAGACACCTGCAGCGCCTGGGTTTATCCTCCTGCCAAGAGGAGGCATTTGCCAGCCTTGCCGGGTGCGCTTTCCCCGGTGTAATAACGAGGCCCTGAGCAAACACTGGGTCAGAGCCATAACTGGGGCTTTTGTTTTCACCCTGGGCAGAGGCCAGGAGGGCAGCAGGATTAACTTTGGCTGGAGCGTGGCAATGCATGGCTTCAGCTTGTGTATCTGACAGCTGTAGCTGTACCTTCCTTACCTGGCAACCCCCTCAGATGCTGGAGGAGCAGCTCTGCGAAGGCAGGGGGTCAAAACCATTGTTGTTTCGGACATGAGGTTTTGCCTCAAGCCCTGCCATGGCTCTTTGGGGCGCAGTCACCCTTGGTGGCTCATGGTGCAGTTTGCCCCAGGGGGCTATTACTCCGTTACTGGCATCATCCAGCGTGGATAAAGGGGACGTGGATGATTTTGAAACCCTTCCTGGGCCAGGCAGACAGCAGCTCCCCCTCTTCCTGCCTCAGTGTGTGTTTAACTCTGGAAAAACACCCAAAGAGGTTTTCTCATTTTGCTGCTTTCTCTTTGAAGCAGCATCTGCCAAAAAATGCTAATGTGGGATTTCAGTTGTTTGGTCCTTTGTGCCTTGGGTGCCGCGGCTGCTTTATAACTGTGGGTCCGAGTGAGTTGAGAGTTCATTGTCACCCTGGCTTCAGGCCCCTCCCTGGAGACCACAGACAAAAGAAATTGCTCTCAAAATGGCTCGGTCGCTTCTGGGGACAGGGAAATCACCCTAACGCATCTGAAGCGAGCTGAGAGCAGGGTCCTGAACTGCTGAGCCTGTAATGTAGCTGTGAAGCACCCAGAAAGACTCCACCCCACCTGCCCCAAATTCCTGCAAGAGGGACAAAGCTTTCTTGATCCCACCTAGCCCAGACTGAGTGTGCAGGGGGAGAGATGAGTTTATTAAATAGAAACATCTGAATGGCTCATCATCCTCAAGCCTAAAATAGGACCATCAAATGACTGCGAGTCCTATCTCTGTTACAAAAATCTCTCTTCTTCCCAACCATCAGCTGTGAAATCTCTGTGGGTGTCACAGGTTAGTATTGTCAGCTGGGTCCTGTCGCCCAAACTCTCGCCAACCCTTTTGGTGCCGTGGGAGTTGTGCTTGTGTGTGATGCCCACCCCGGCGCGGGGCAAAGCTCCTTTTCTTTAAGATGGAGACAAAAGATTACCGTCGAAAGAACAAAGGTAGGAGCTGGCTTGTCTAAATAAATGACAGGTTCATCTATCGGAGGGAAGCTCGTCTGGCAAAGCGGTAGCTAGAAAGCAAGTGAGAGTCGTGTGGTTTTGGGGGGGCACCGATGACCTAGAGTGCCGTTTCCTGAATTACAACTGAATTTCTCTTTGGAAAGTAAAAGCCGCTCCTCCCTCCGTCCGGCTCTGCCGTGTAGTGTTGAAAGGGGCCGCTCGGTGTTTTAGTTCTCCTCCCTGCCACTCCACTTAGCCCTGCAAGGTTGAAAAGCACCCCCCCTTTTTTTTTTTTGGAGATGGAGGTGAATTAATGCTGCCTGCGCTGCTTCCCTCTGTTCACTCAGAGCTTCCTTCTCCAGGATCAGGGCTTCGCGTTTCCCCAAACGAGGCATCGTAATCGTTCTTGCCCTTTCTTGATTAGGATGTAATAGTGGTGATTAAATGTATTCTCTCTACGCGTCCCCGTGGACTCTTCCTTGTTTAAAAAGCAGAGCGCTCCCAGGGCAGAGAGATACCTTACATCTGACCTAAATCGTACTCTTCTGGGAAAGGATTGTTTATCTTCCCCCAAATTAAGAAGGTGGCGCAGCAGGCAGGATGCTAATTCTGGTTTCCCTGTTGCCAGCTCCCTCTGGGGTCGGTTTTGAGCAAGTCCCGTAAACGCTCAGCTGCAACAGGGGCTGTTGACACGCTCCCTTCCTGGGGCTGGGTGACGTTTGCAGAGCAGGCTGGAAAAGGAATGCTTGGAGTATTTATTGTTAGGATTTGTGTCCCCAAAGCAGCTCCCGATAGCCATAAAACTGGACTTTAAATTTGACACCCTGGAAAACCTTTGTGTTTCTCGAATAGGTGTTGATGTCTGCAAGCGGGGATGGGCTTAAATTTTAAGTCATCGAAGTGTTTTGGTGGAAAGTGGGAGTAACGCAGAGCTGTAAAATCGATGGTCTTCGGCCAGCGGTAGGATTGATTCTCAAATGGCAGAACCTTGCGCACAGCCGATGTGCCAGGAGATGCTGCTGTAGGGACGGAGGGTCTCCCCAGCTTTCTACAGGTTACGGGGGCAGCTGAGCTGCCATCAAATATTCCAGAAAGTGGTCTTGTCCAAAATGCCTTCAGCAAAAATTAGTCTGCCCCTCTTCTGCTGGGCAACTTGAAATAATGTCATTCCTCTGCTCCCCCCCCCCCCCCCCCCC